ACCATGATTCCTTTAAAAAAAAAAAAAAAAAAAAAAAAAAAAAGAACCAGATACTATAAAGGACAATGCCATTTACTAAAAAAAAAGTGTAACAGGAACCAACGCTTTAAGGTTAGCTTTTATATCCTGGCATTAAAATACGCTCACTTTACTATTTTTTTTAATGGCAACCGTTGCTAGATTAACAAATATAAGATGTATGAATGGCTGATCTCTGAAGAGCAGTTGCTAAGGGTTGGTTTATTTTAACTCTAAGGTTACTTTTCGGAAGAGCCTCAACACCATCTTTATATTTTAGGATATGTTTTTTTTTTTAAAAAAGACGTTTGTTCAGGTCTGATAAGAAACACAAATCTGACTCAACCGATAAATCAGTAAATAACAAAACACAATTTAAATTTAAAAGTAATTAGCTCTAGAAAAAAAGTCTGATGTTTTGACAAGAAAAGACCGAGAAAGTATGAACTAATAAAAAAAAAATGAAATTATAGTAATTTGACCAAATAAAGTCTGATGTAATTATAGGCAAAGGTCCAGAAAGTAGGAAATTAAATTAATAATAATTTTAAAAATCCTCTTCCGCATTAATGGATAAACAAGACCTAAAGAAGAGTATAGTATTGTTTTATTTCTGTAAACTAGGCGCGCTACTGTTCCTTCTTTTCTTCCGCCGGAGGAGCCGCAGCTTCTCCTGTCCCGTCAGCGGTGGGTTCCTCGTACGGAATGTCTGGCTCAAAGCCACACAAATGGGCGCTGAGATTCCAAAGTTTCTTGGACACTTCCTTGTCTTTGAGTCTTTCTTGGGTCTTCATCACTTTGCAGTTGGCGAACGTTTTGCCTGTTACATGAAGAGGAAAATAGCACGGGTGATCATGAGGGTTTCCTTGTTAAGCACGGGTGTTTAAAACAAATAGTCAAGTTTTGTTTACCTTTCTCACAAGTCTTACTTTAGGGGAGGAAAAATATTTTTAAAAACATTTAAAATATAGACTTTCTTTCAAAAACGAGTTTTAACGCACTAAAAAGTAGATAATAATTAAATGGAAATGAGATGGGGAGGGAGATTGAGATGGAGATGGAGAGAGGGGAGAGGAAGAGAAAGGGTGAGAGAGAACCGGAACTTATATTCAGTAAGCTCTGCTGCCACCAACCTACCAGAAAACTCCCTAAGTCCATCAGCCACAGCCAGGTATACGATGGTCTGGGCACCATCTTCTGGTGGCTTGAACATAAACCTGGACACAACACGAAGAATATTTCCCGTCACACCTGGATAGTTACGCATGAGCTCCGTGGCGCAGGCGCCTAAAGGTGAAATAGAACGATGATTGGTTAAGTCAGATGTAATGGGCGATAAAAGATTACCATGACAGTATTTAAAATAAAAATAATAAAGAAAATATACAACTTATCAGTTTACACGTTGTTTTTTTGTTGTTTTTTTAAAAAATGAACTAAAAATTTGTTTGACAAAATCTTTGCTTTTTTTTTTTTTTAATAGGCCTAACCATCAAGTTGTTTTTTGTTTTGTTTTTGCCATAAGCCATTAGAAGTAGAGGTCACCTATAACAGACTTGTGTTGATTGAGGATGGCCACATGCAGAACTGAATCCCTTTTCGGAGAGTCCCAAAGTTCCAGTTACTCAACTAGACCAGGGGGGCGGCCAATCCTAATGGCGCCCACGGGCCGCGCACTTTGATTGAAAATAAACATTTCGCGGGCCGCATGTGCTTACACCTACTATTAAAATATTAAAAACACACTCCCACTAAATGCTGTATATAGAGATGTTTATCTTTTATTAATGCACATAATGCTATATAATAACAACAAAGAAAAAAAAAAGAACTAAGCTAATATGATCATTTGTTTATCATTTATCCCACTCAACTGTTAAATATCAATTTCTTTGTCAATTAATTGAAGAACGATTGTCTACTGATTAATAAATCAAGCATCTGCAGGCCGCATAATTTGACGTAGTGAGCCGCATGCGGTCCGCGGTCCACCACTGAACTGGACTACTAACCTGGTGGATGTGCATCGAATTTCCATCTATAGAACTAGACCATTTGCATTAAATAATGTAATAGATCATTTATCTGGATGAGGATGTGCATCAAAATGTCCAGACACTTATACCTGGATGTGCACCAAATGTCCAGACACTTATACCTGGATGTGCATCAAAATGTCTAGGCACTTACCAGGATGTGCATCAAAATGTCTAGGCACTTACCAGGATGTGCATCAAAATGTCCAGACATTATACCAGGATGTGCATCAAAATGTCCAGACACTTACCTGGATGTGCATCAAAATGTCCAGACACTTATACCTGGATGTGCATCAAAATGTCCAGACACTTATACCTGGATCTGCATCAAAATGTCCAGACACTTACATGGACTTGCATCCAAATGTCCAGACACTTACCTGGACGTGCATCCAAATGTCCAGAAACTTACCAGGATGTACTCCATATGTCCAGATGCAGCTCGAGTACAGCCGCCTGTGGTTCTCCAAGTTCCAAAGCATCTGTGCATACTTGGACCTGGCGTAGGCCCCGTACACGCTGTAGCCTTTGTTCAGGGCAATGTCGTCGAAGTCGAGCTGACCTTTGGCATAGGCGTCGGACACAACGTTGATGACGCGGGAGGGGGCGTTCTTCTTCAACTGAAGACGAAATACTCCAGATATAAACACAGCTAAAACTAAAAAAACAAAAACAAACTCGAACGTTATTTCAAAAAAAAAATAAAAAAATAATAATAAAGAAACATCCAATCAGAATAAGAGTTAGTTGTAGACAGGATCTTATGCCAATGTCTCAAAATAGCGGGCTCAAGATTTTATTTTTGAAAAGGAAAATTAGGGTCATTTCATTTGATGGAAAGGAAGGACCACTGTGGGGGCGCTGCAACCCGTGCGGCTGCAGGGGGTGTGTGGGGGGGGGGCTCGGAAATTCAAGGGGCCCACATAATTCTGATGTGGTATAACATTGAAACCACCGATCTCAGCATAGAATGCAGTTGGCACAAAGCCAAAAAGTGGCAGGGTGCCTCCGAAAGTCACGTGGTGTCTCCGATTTAAGGATGAAATTATTAATAGAATCTGGTGATTTGAAAATTATTTCAAAATCGAGAGAAAGCCATGAAGGGGGTTTTGAAGGTCGGTTTTAACCGATAATACTTGGTAATGAATTGTTTATATAATGTGAAACTATCGATTTGAATCGAGTTCAATGGAAAATAGTTGACTTAGGAAATATAATTGATATTTAAATGAAAATGCTGTAAGTAGGAATAAAAGTACAAACTGACGAAGGCTGACCATGCAACACATAACTGTTACCTTTTCAGTATTTCAGGTAAACATTGAAAAATTCGTTGAACACAATATGTAAATTTTACCTTATCAGTAAGTAGGTATGTAAGGTAAAAATGACCAAGGTAGTTAACCCCAAATGACCTCTCCAGGCCATCGTCAGTGGCAGCCTTGGGTCCCATGTAAGCTGTCAAAATAAAATGAAGAGAAATAATAATAAATAAAAATATTTTTAAAAAAATGAATTTTTAAAGTTCAGCTTGTGATTATCATGTTGGAACCCCAAATATTTCAGCTTAAAAAAAAAAATCTGGATATACGATATAATGGTACGAGTATCGGGTAATGAGAAGCGATGTAATGTCGCTGATCAGAAGTGAGGTAATGCTACTATTGAGAATGTGCGGTAAATAAGGCTCTTGAAAAGTGAGTTAAATGTCCCTAATGAGAAGTGGGGCAAATGTGGCTGATGAGAAGAGGGGTAAATGTGGCTGATGAGAAGTGCGGTAAATGTGGCTAATGAGAATTGTGGTAAATGTGGCTGATGAGAAGTGCGGTAAATGTGGCTAATGAGAATTGTGGTAAATGTGGCTGATGAGAAGTGCGGTAAATGTGTCTGATGAGAAGTGAGTTAAATGTCCCTAATGAGAACTGAGTTAAATGCCCCTAATGAGAAGTGGGGCAAATGTGGCTGATGAGAAGTGGGGTAAAATGTGGCTGATGAGAAGTGCGGTAAATGTGGCTAATGAGAATTGTGGTAATGTGACTGATGAGAAGTGCGGTAAATGTGTCTGATGAGAAGTGAGTTAAATGTCCCTAATGAGAACTGAGTTAAATGTCCCTAATGAGAAGTGGGGTAAATTTCCCTTATGAGAAGTGATTTCCCGAACGCTTTGACAGCGGGAATAGTTCGGACAAACTATTTCTGGGTATAACTGAACACTCACCCTGAAAAGTTACGACAGCTAATGGGAAGAGGTTAAGCTAATGGGAAGAGGTTAAGCTAATGGGAAGAGGTTAAGCTAATGGGAAGAGGTTACTGTATAGAAAATAATATATTTTACCTTATATTTATACATGGGCAAAAAAAAAAGGTTGGGGGGGGGGGTGGCTATTGTAATGTGAGTCAGCTGATTGAGATTTAAAAAAAGAAAAAACAGTAGGGACTAGATTTATTTTTCGTGTTCAAAATAGGTCGTTTCTAAAAATAGAAGAATACAATCCGAGTTCATTATGTGTTTGCTCGCGTGTATTTTGGCAGCCAGTTATAATGGAATTTTCCTCGTATTACAGGCGACATGAGAAAATAGAATATAAACAATCTTTTGAGGGAATCACCTTTTTACGGTGTCTTTATAAATACTATCACCCAGAATATTTGTGTGTACCCGCTTCATTTTTTGCTTTGTTGTTGACGAGACCAATTTAGCTGGAGTGCAACAGTCCACGTACACGGGGACTCACGGCCATGCAATTAAAAAAAAAATATGACCAAGTTTGTAAAAGGGCAGAAATATGACTTAACAACTTATATGAATATGGCAGAAAGATGCTTAGTTGATGGACTTCATTCAAGTCGTGTAAGCGAAATTTAAGAACAAGGTGTGCTAAACATGGAATCAATGGACAGGACAAAAGATTTGGACGTTTCGGCCTAGAGGCTTCATCACATTTTTTCGGCACCATTTCTCCCCATGGTTATGAATCAAATGCTCTCCTAACTAATTTCTCTCAATATCCCTGTATTTCTTCTTTCCTTTTTCCGGCCCGTTAAGATTCCCTTCTCTTACCTCATTTTTCACAGTGCCAATATTTATATTCTTTCACTTCCCGTAATCCTACTTCCGGCAACTACATGTACATAGAAGACCTCCATAGTCTTTTTTTTTTTTTTTTTTTTATTTTGTTTTTTTTTTTTTTTTCTTTTTTTTTTTTTTTTTTTTACTGTGCTTTGTTACTTGTTCTACTTTATTTGTTTTGTTTGCTGATGACGGCTCTAAGCTCAAATATTTTGTACTGTCTAGCAGTGGCGTAACAACGGCTTGGCATTGGGGCAGTTGCCAAGGGCACCGTCCTGCGCCAGTTCAGAAGGGCGACGCTAAATGTCAATTTTTTTAAATTTGTATGTAAACTTAAACAAAAGGGCGCCAAAAATAAATTAGCCAAGGGCGTCAAAAACCCAGTTACGCTCCTGCTGTCTAGTTATTCAAGTTTAGCACACCTTGTTCTTAAATTTCATTTAGAAAGATGCCTATGGCGCATATTCGCGATTCATTGAAAACCGTGGTGCCTTACACTCACCATAAGCCAGAGGTGGCGCCGAAATGACATAAATAATAAGTATATCATTCCCACCCTTCAAATGTTTCTAGCAATTTTTTTTTTTGGTTGGTGGGGGGGGGGCACTATTTTAAGACAAGGCACCGAACTTCGTCTATGACGTGACACTGGAGCTGTTACCAAGTTATACATACACTTTTATTTAAATTTAAAAGAAAAATAATGATCGATCATTGATTGATCTGATTGACCCACGGAGCCTGTCACAACACTTCTAACCGCTGTTACTCCGGACACATTTGTCCGTATCCGGTTGCTCCACGACCGACCCACGTGCCACTGGTTTCTTCTCCCTGGCCAGAACTTTCGTCTGGGAGCCCGGTTCCATTCCACTACGGCCCGGCATATGTCTGCAAGGGCCCCAAAGGTGTGTGCTCCGGTAGGAAAAAAGGGAGGGTGGGGTGGGGGAGATTATCAGGGCCTTAGAATGCTCGTGTGCGTCAGGTGAGCCTAAAAACCGTCAAGGTCAAAGAGGCGAAGCCGGCATCAAACGGCAGCACACACGATGTTGGTGATTTTCCTACCCATTCCCTCCCTCACCTGCCACCCAGCCGCTTTCCCCCTTTTCTAAACTAGGCTTAAAGCTTAACAACGCTAGGAGAATATCAATGAAGTCTCTAATAAAAGAGCGAATTTCTCATTTTATTTTCATAATGTTACCTTATAGTCCGGCCAATAACAGCTCGAGTCTTCATCTGTTCCACTATAGCCCCTGAGATTTTTCTTTCGCAAGTTTTGTAGTGACATGTAGTATTGATATTTTTTTACCTTTTATTACGGTAAACATCTCTTCTGCCACCAGTTATTAAAATTAGAGAATCCTGAAAGTTTCAGTGGCCGCGTCTTATTTAAAAAAAAAAAAAAAAATTCTCCCAAATTGTACATTGAAAATCACTTGGGCTATATTCAAACACTCGCGACCAGAAAGATTGCTTTTTCGTGTGCAGGATATGCTTAATCTTCAATTTCGACCAACATGAATACGATCCAGCCCACGACCTACCTGCACGTCCCCCAGCGCATGACCCACATGCACGCCCTCCAGTCCATGACCAACATGCACGCCCTCCGGTCCATGACCAACATGAACGCCCTCCGGCCCACGACCAACACGCACGCCCTACAGCCCATGACCAACATGCACGCCCTCCGGTCCATGACCAACATGAACGCCCTCCGGCCCACGACCAACACGCACGCCCTACAGCCCATGACCAACATGCACGCCCTCCAGTCCCTAACCAACATGCACGCCCTCCAGTCCATGACCAACATGCACGCCCTGCAGCCCATGACCAACATGCACGCCCTCCAGTCAAATATAAAATGCACGCCCTTCGCCCTATGACCAGGATGCATGTTTTTCATACATACACCACTGTGGGCGGGACCTGAACCAAAACATCTAAAGGGTAGCCATTATGTTTATAGTTAAAATCCTTACAAATGACTTTGCAGTTGTTTGCTCTGCCATGTAGAGCTTGTTTACAACACTTTCCTCGTGCGTGCACTCTGGTTGACCCCACATGAGACATTACGTTCATATATGGGCGTGGCTTAGTCTTTTGATCTGCCATGTTTATTGCCGACAGCAACTAAAAATAATTAATGTGTTCTCAGTAGTGTTTTGTCGAATGTTCAAGATTGTATTAGAAAAGTAAAGGCGTTTCTGGACGCGTCGGTAGACCCACAATATAAATAAAGAGTTTCGGAGTGAGGAAAAGAGATTCAGACGGAGATTGAGATAGACGGAGATAGATATTATTTACTTTACGAGACAATTGTATTATTCTTTGTGTGCTCATATGTGTTTATTCGCATTCATCATTCATCATAATTAATTGGCACATTGTACTAATTGTGTACCGGTACAAGATTTTCCGATACTCTGTAAGTTGGTGATTTGTAACTATATTTCTTTTGTTTTGTAATTGTGTTATTACTAATTAAATCTTATTAATTGTAATTGGCAACTGGTTTGGGTGTCGTAATTTTGTTGTTGTATTTCTCTATGGTATCGTCCTTTGTTGTGCACTGTTTGAGCGAGCCATAACTTAAAACAAGAGATTAATTTCTCACAAGAGAAGCCAGTGCGTAACAGTTCCATAAGTCATTTAAGTTAAATATAAGCTCACACCTTTTAAATTAAACCATTACAAATTGGTGTCCCGGGTGGCTCAGTGAGACAACCTCGCTGGCTCACGAACGCCACCCTGTTGCTAAAGCGGTGCCTTTAAAATCCAGCAGACGAGACCATGTTCACGTGGTTCCGACCGCTAATCACGCCTTCTATAATGTAGGTAGAGCTTACCTTCGACCATCTTATTTAAAAAAAAGAAAAAGAAAGGGTTTAGCACCGATTCGCTAAATCTAAATAACAGTGGTCACCACAGGCAACGTCTGTTGACTTGGTAACCATTATGTTGGTGATGACGAGTTAGAGCCCCTGATTCTACCATTTTGATCGCTTCTCGGTCTGCCATGTCGTCCTGTTTACAAATTATCGCCCGTATTTTTCTAACCCACCCCCCCCCACCCCTTTCAAAGTTACTGACGTCTGAGAAATGCCACCGTCGGCAAATAACAGAGACGGTTCATTGGATCACGTGATACTTGTACTTGTACGTGATGGTTTTATTCATGTGGTTTATCTATGTAATGGTTGTCTTGTCTACGTCATGGTTGTCTATGTCATGGTTGTCTATGTAGTGTTTTTCTATAATTTTATATGTATGAATTCATTGAACTAAACCTCAGTTTATTCGTTTTAAAAATAAATAAAATAAATTATATATATATATTATATTACGACGTCTTGTATAACATGAAGTCCTTTCATCTTTAAATTTCTCCACTTATCAGCTCGTGCTTTTTTCATCAAAATTAGAAACTTTGTCGGGGGGGGGGGGGGGGCGGGCGAGCACGTCTAAGTATTCCAGAGGTCAAAGTTCACTCACCTGCATTGTTGATAAGAACGTGCAGGTATTTCTCATCCCTATTGAAATCCTCGCAAAATTCTCGTATGCTCCTCAGGTTAGCAAGGTCAAGGACATGAGCGTTGACATGCTGGTTGCCGGTCTTTTTCCTGAAATGGCGGAGGGAAAAAAAAATTCAAAAAAGAGTAAATCTTCCGTTGACGTTAATGGCGTTGACAGCGTAGCGAGGCTGTCGTCGTCTTAGGGAACATGGGACGTAGCGAGGCGGTCGTCGTCGTCTTAGGGAACGTTGGGACGTAGCGAGGCGGTCGTCGTCGTCTTAGGGAACGTTGGGACTTAGTGTTAAAGGTAGGGGCCCGGCGGAGTTTCCTAGTTCTACATTATAATTAAACCACTAGGACGGCTCCATTGAAGAAGTGCCCAGTGCTACTTACAGAATTAAACGCTACTAGTAGTACTGGGGTCTATGCGGTAGACAGTTCTGAGGAAACCTTCGCGAGGAGGCGCCAGTGAAGATCTGCGTCGGCCAAAACACAAGATTACGTTTTGTCCCGCCCGGGGGGGGGGGGGGGGAAGGGGGGGGGGGGGCAAGGGTGGGGGAAAGGTCGTAGTAATCCGCAGTTGGAAATACGCCCTTCTATTTACGGTCTGATAAAAAAAGAGGCCACCCTCTGGTGTTCCTTGGGCGGCCGAATGTTTCGCCAACCAGGGCCAACAAGGGCCAACCAGAGCCAACCAGGGTCAACCAGGGTCAACCAGGACCATCTAGTGCTAACTAGGGTCAACCAGGACCAGCTAGGGTCAGCTAGGGCCAGCTAGGACCAACTAGGGCCAACTAGGGCTAACCAGGGCCAACAAGGGCCAACCAGGGCCAAAAAGGGCCAATTAGGGCCAACCAGGGTCAACTCGGGCGAAACATCCCGGAAGAGCCGCTGTTAAAGGAGGGGGAGATTCTTCCAACTGGGGCTCTCAGGGTGGGGGAAGGGGGTTGTGGGGGGGGGGCTGGTGGCTTAAGAGCTCCGGTAGGATCTCTGACGTTATTCCGTATACGTAATTTTCTTATGGAATCTGATATTACCTTCCGATTGTTGAAAAAAATATGTCAAGTCTTCTCATGTGTCCAGTAATTTCACAAAGTTTAAGGGCCTTGGTGACCAAGTACTCGTCTCCGGTAAGGTCCAAACGGTTTATTTTTTTAGGACTATGATTTTTTCATACGGCTCAGAAAACTTGTGGGAGACAGGCCCAGGGTTAGGGTTCTTGATAAGGGACATCAATCCGTTCACTCCATCAACTTTATTCAAGACTTATATTAGATCATGTGCATAATGCAATGTTTCATGCTTTAAAAAAAAAAAATTACAACAAACCTGGCTTCTTATCATCCCACAAACCTGGCTTCTTATCATCCCACAAACCTGGCTTTCTTATCATCTGACAAACCTGGCTTCTTTCATCCCACAGACCTGGCTTCTTATCATCCCACAAACCTGGCTTTCTTATCATCTCACAAAACCTGGCTTTCTTATCATCCCACAAACCTGTCTTTCTTATCATCCCACAAACCTGGCTTTCTTATCATCCCACAAAGCTGGCTTTCTTATCATCTCACAAAACCTGGCTTTCTTATCATCCCACAAAGCTGGCACAAACCCTCAGAAAGACGTATACAACTTATCGAATAATAGAAATATCTTGTTGTTAAAGCCCCCCTTGCAGCCAGCTATAAATAAATTTACTGCACTCGAGCTCTATTCCGCAACGCCAGTTGAATTTTACAAAAGGAAATCTTCTCTGATGACCAGCTCTAACACCAGCCACCCTCCCCCCTATCCCAACCCATCCCCACACTTTTAATTTCTTGGACCACCTGGAATGGTGAGCGCGAGGCTGTGGGGGAGGGGGGAAGGGGGAAACACAGTAAGAATTGTATTACGTCATCAAAATTCTGCAGCGAATGAATTTATTATGTTCACGTGACCTGCTGGCGTCAGATGGGGGGAGATAACTATGCGCGCAGAATAGTTTGTTGTTTCTATCGCATCGAAGATTATCCCGAGTGAAGTGCAGATATCATTCGTGTATCAACTTACACTCTACGGCGGGGAACGTATCATTTTGTATCAACTTACACTCTACGGCGTGCAGCATTACAAAGTAAATGGAATTTATTTAATGGAGGAACAAAAAAATTATATGGAAAAAAGAGACTCTCTTGAAGAGAGAACCATGGACTTACACAGCTGCCATGAGAACACACAGAAATATCTCCATAGGCATACACAGAAACAATGGAGATGGGCATACACATACATATCTCCACGGGCATGCACAGAAATATCTCCATGGGCATACACAGAAATATCTCCATAGGCATACACCGAAAGATCTCCATGGGCATACACAGAAATATCACCATGGCATACACAGAAATATCGCCATGGGCAAACACAGAAATATCTTCATGGGCATACACAGAAACAATGGACATGGGCATACACAGAAATATCTTCATGGGCATACACAGAAACATCGCCATGGGCATACACAGAAACATCGCCATGGGCATACACAGAAACAATGAACATGGGCATACACATAAACATCGCCATGGGCATACACAGAAATATCGCCATGGGCGTACACAGAAATATCGCCATGGGCGTACACAGAAATATCGCCATGGGCATACACAGAAATATCGCCATGGGCGTACACAGAAATATCTCCATGGGCATACACAGAAATATCGCCATGGGCGTACACAGAAATATCGCCATGTGCGTACACAGAAATATCGCCATGGGCAGGCATTTAGACTTTACATTTTAAAGATCATTCGAAAAAGAAACTGTACATCTACCCATAGTTCAACCAATATTGCACGGGAGGCATTCTTTACCTACCATTTATAGAGTACTTATAAGTGTACTTATTAGTGTGCTTATTAGTGTGCTTATTAGTGTGCTTGTTAGTGTGCTTGTTAGTGTGCTTGTTAGTGTGCTTGTTAGTGTGCTTGTTAGTGTGCTTGTTAGTGTGCTTGTTAGTGTGCTTGTTAGTGTGCTTGTTAGTGTGCTTGTTAGTGTGCTTGTTAGTGTGCTTGTTAGTGTGCTTGTTAGTGTGCTTGTTAGTGTGCTTGTTAGTGTGCCTGTTAGTGTGCCTGTTAGTGTGCCTGTTAGTGTGCCTGTTAGTGTGCCTGTTAGTGTGCCTGTTAGTGTGCCTGTTAGTGTGCCTGTTAGTGTGCCTGTTAGTGTGCCTGTTAGTGTGCCTGTTGGTGTGCCTGTTGGTGTGCCTGTTGGTGTGCCTGTTGGTGTGCCTGTTGGTGTGCCTGTTGGTGTGCCTGTTGGTGTGCCTGTTGGTGTGCCTGTTGGTGTGCCTGTTGGTGTGCCTGTTGGTGTGCCTGTTGGTGTGCCTGTTGGTGTGCCTGTTGGTGTGCCTGTTGGTGTGCCTGTTGGTGTGCCTGTTGGTGTGCCTGTTGGTGTGCCTGTTGGTGTGCCTGTTGGTGTGCCTGTTGGTGTGCCTGTTGGTGTGCCTGTTGGTGTGCCTGTTGGTGTGCCTGTTGGTGTGCCTGTTGGTGTGCCTGTTGGTGTGCCTGTTGGTGTGCCTGTTGGTGTGCCTGTTGGTGTGCCTGTTGGTGTGCCTGTTGGTGTGCCTGTTGGTGTGCCTGTTGGTGTGCCTGTTGGTGTGCCTGTTGGTGTGCCTGTTGGTGTGCCTGTTGGTGTGCCTGTTGGTGTGCCTGTTGGTGTGCCTGTTGGTGTGCCTGTTGGTGTGCCTGTTGGTGTGCCTGTTGGTGTGCCTGTTGGTGTGCCTGTTGGTGTGCCTGTTGGTGTGCCTGTTGGTGTGCCTGTTGGTGTGCCTGTTGGTGTGCCTGTTGGTGTGCCTGTTGGTGTGCCTGTTGGTGTGCCTGTTGGTGTGCCTGTTGGTGTGCCTGTTGGTGTGCCTGTTGGTGTGCCTGTTGGTGTGCCTGTTGGTGTGCCTGTTGGTGTGCCTGTTGGTGTGCCTGTTGGTGTGCCTGTTGGTGTGCCTGTTGGTGTGCCTGTTGGTGTGCCTGTTGGTGTGCCTGTTGGTGTGCCTGTTGGTGTGCCTGTTGGTGTGCCTGTTGGTGTGCCTGTTGGTGTGCCTGTTGGTGTGCCTGTTGGTGTGCCTGTTGGTGTGCCTGTTGGTGTGCCTGTTGGTGTGCCTGTTGGTGTGCCTGTTGGTGTGCCTGTTGGTGTGCCTGTTGGTGTGCCTGTTGGTGTGCCTGTTGGTGTGCCTGTTGGTGTGCCTGTTGGTGTGCCTGTTGGTGTGCCTGTTGGTGTGCCTGTTGGTGTGCCTGTTGGTGTGCCTGTTGGTGTGCCTGTTAGTGTGCCTGTTAGTGTGCCTGTTAGTGTGCCTGTTAGTGTGCCTGTTAGTGTGCCTGTTAGTGTACTTAATAGTGTACTTAATAGTGTACTTATAAGTGTACTTATAAGTGTACTTATAAGTGTACTTATAAGTGTACTTATAAGTGTACTTATAAGTGTACTTATAAGTGTACTTATAAGTGTACTTATAAGTGTACTTATAAGTGTACTTATAAGTGTACTTATAAGTGTACTTATTAGTGTACTTATTAGTGTACTTATTAGTGTACTTATTAGTGTACTTATTAGTGTACTTATTAGTGTACTTATTAGTGTACTTATTAGTGTACTTATTAGTGTACTTATTAGTGTACTTATAGTGTGCTTATAGTGTGCTTATAGTGTGCTTATAGTGTGCTTATAGTGTGCTTATAGTGTGCTTATAGTGTGCTTATAGTGTTCTTATAGTGTTCTTATAGTGTACTTATAGTGTACTTATAGTGTACTTATAGTGTACTTATTAGTGTACTTATTAGTGTACTTATTAGTGTACTTATTAGTGTACTTATAGTGTACTTATAGTGTACTTATAGTGTACTTATAGTGTACTTATAGTGTACTTATAGTGTGCTTATAGTGTACTTATAGTGTGCTTATAGTGTACTTATAGTGTACTTATAGTGTGCTTATAGTGTACTTATAGTGTGCTTATAGTGTGCTTATAGTGTGCTTATAGTGTACATATAGAGTGCCTAGAGTGGAGAGATCCGTTATAAATCTCTGTTAGTGACCAAGCAGCCACAGACATGAAATAAGAATGTTTGAAACAACAAATCCTCAAAACGGAAATCAACTTTCTGTTTCCCTTCATGTAAGCCATGTATTGATTTATTATAACATAACTCGTGTAAGCGATGTATTGATATCTTACATGTAACTCATGTAAGCGATATATTGATATATTATTATATTATATAACTCGTGTAAGCGATGTATTGATATATTATATTCTAACTCATGTAAGCGATATATTGATATATTATTATATTATATAACTCGTGTAAGCGATGTGTTGATATATTATATTCTAACTCATGTAAGCGATGTACATGTAACGATACATTACATTCTAATTTTTTCAATTGTAATTTTTGGTGTGTCACTAGCATTTAACAAATTATATTCAAGCATTGTTGACAGTCTTTTTTTTTAAATTTTAACTTTCTTTTTTAAAAAAAACACCGTTTAGTCTAACGGAGACCTTTATACACATCAGCTAGTCACTCTATAGCTACTTAAACTTGCTCTACGTAAAGTGACGTCGCTATTATAGCTACCTAGCCTGGGCGGTGGTTTATGGAGACCAGCTGTTGCCCAATGCAGCAGATCCCCACACTCTCCACGCAACCAGTGGACCCAAGGGAATGACAATTTGTCAATACAGCTTTGGCACTGACTGCGTCGCAGGAGTTGACAAAATGACATTGTTACTCGGCGTCAGATCGACTTCGGGACTCCCTCTCCGGATTTTACAATTTGGGTTCACTCCCGTATTCTTACCCTAGCTTCCCCGCATTGTCTCTCTATAAACGTACAATTATGTCATTGTGAAGGAAGTGATGTTTTGAGAAATACTTTCAAAGGTCTTTCGTTTAAATTATTTCAGTAAAAAAACAAACAAAAAAAAGCAAAAAAAAAACGTTCACATTAATCATAATTTTCACCAATATGAACATGCAGAGGCGTAGCGAGGGTGTTTGGCGCCCGGGGACAAGATTCGCGCCCGGGGACAAGATCCATTTTAAAGCGCCCCTTTCTCTTTTTTTTTTTTTTTTCAACTCTCAAGCCCTTTATTTTTATCAATAAAACAATATATCAAAGCACATTTTGACGCCCCTAACTAGCTGGCGCCCGGGGACATCTGTCCCCCCCTGCCCCTCCCCTCGCTACGCCTCTGTGACCATGATGAATATTTACTTTGCCCTCAAAACTTAGTTCCATATAGTTTGATAAATGAAAGAAACGTATCTTATCTTATCTTAGTCTACCAAAATTTAAATTTGCTGGACATTCGATTTAGGTCAAGAAACGTTGTCACATTTAAAAAAAAAATTATTTATCGAGGGATTTAAGTGTGGCATGACTTCCGTTGAAACAGTCCGCTATACAACAATGCAGACGTGTGTAGAAACAAGGTCTCCACGGTTCGTTTAAATAATATAAATAATAATACTAATAAAACAAATGAACGTTTGTGCTTAAAAAAACCCCACAAAAACGATGATTATAAAAAATAATTTTACTCCGAAAGGAGCTGCAGACAGCCCAGTTTTTACGACTCCCAACTGAACCCTGTTATTTGACTACAGACGCCACCACGCACAGCTGTTCACTATTGAGATAAAATGCCATCTTAAGATGCAACACATTACACTTGCGCCCCACTGGTGTTGTCCCAGATACAGAACAAATGTTGACACAACTTAATTTAATTTATAAAACCCTCACTCTTTTAATACGACCGTCATGGTTCTCAAAGTGGCAGATTGTTATCAAAAAAGAATATTGCTATTTTTATACCGTTTTTTTTTCTGTTGTGTTGATCGCCGAAGAAGGCTTTCTGCCGACACGTTCGTTGTTGTGTTGCGTTCCTTTTTTTTTTCAGGTTGAACCCTACTTTGTTTTACTCATTTTATATTGAAACAAGAACACCAGGTGGTGATCAGTTTCCCTCACCTGTAGTCAGTGGCGCAGATAAGGTTAGTGCCACCCGGGGCGGGTCAACATTTTTGCCACCCCGTTTCACGAAAAAAACAAAACAATTCAGTTGGCCGAAATTGCCGCCCCTGCCCATATAAAAAGAGAAAAGTGTAGAACTGGGACTGCCCCCCCCCTCTTAAAACGCCACTGCCTGTAGTTTCTTCCCACGTTTCAAACACAGGTGTCAACAAATTCTACCCCGTGACCAATGACGACAGGATGCTCACCCAATATTTCTGGCCACAGCATCGACCTTGGCCTTGTCCCCTCCGGTGATGAGCACTCGCCCGCCCCTCTTGGCCAGCTCGATGGCAGTCGACTTGCCTATACCACTCGTGGCGCCTGTTTTGGGGGGGGGGGGTGGTGACATAAAAATATATGTGGTTAAAGTTTCGCATGTAGATATCATAAAATTATGTTTGTACACGTAAATAAAATACTAGCGGTTATAGTTTACATACAGAATATAATATACGTGCGTTTTCAGTTTAGATAATATAGCATAGCATTCATGTGGTCACAGTTTTTATATATAAGGTAACATTCATATGGTCACAGTTTTTATATATAAGGTAGCATTCATTTGGTCACAGTTTTTATATATAAGGTAGCATTCATGTGGTCACAGTTTTTATATAAGGTAACATTGGCGTAGTCATAGGTTGTATGTAACGTAACATTGGCGTGGTCACAATTCGCAAATAAACTAACATTCCTTGTGTTACAGTTTACATTCGTGCAGTCAGTCTTTTGCTCATAGGGTTAAATTTGTTTGAAGCCTATTTTATAGGTAAGGTAAAATGTTCAGAGCTTTCAGTGGTGTTAGTTCAATCCCTCTCGTAATTTACACCTGCTCAATGACGTAGACGTAGAAAGGGGATGTGGTGGACGCGGTCTGCCCAGGTGGTCGTTTTTTTTTTCCCCCTCCCTTTTATCGTTGAAAAAAAAAAAGTAGGGATGGGGGGTTGAAGGCAAAAAGAGTGTCCTGCCACTGGCGTAACTAACTCTAGCTACGCCACTGCATCTCCTCTTATTTTTAATTTTCTACTGTGGTCAATTTAGTTATCAGGGAGATGGTCATTTTTTGTGTTTTGTTTTGATATTCATTTAAAAATCGGTTTGATAAATTGGCCACCCAGAAAGCCGACTAAGACGCAATCAGGGCTATCTGCAACCACCCGCCTGGCAACGCCTCTGCTATCGTCTGCGCATTTGACTTTACCGCCAGGCTGTTTGACACCGGTTGCGGGGCAACTGATCAAAACCGGAACAACACACCTTGTAGGCCAGAGGCCAGATAGGTACATGGTTTCAAACGTGGAATAACGTGGTCGGAGGACACAAAATCAGGGGAGGCGTGCTATTTTTGGACTCGCACGTGCCAGGGATTGACTCAACTTCCTATTTGAATGAAAAAAAACATTGTGTGTGTGGGGGGGTTTTGCTTTGTAATACAGACGTGTTTTCCCCTTCGTATCTCCAGATAAAGAGTTTGATTATATATTGCATGCACACCAACAAAGCTTAATGAAACAAAAATTGAACAAGTGTGTGTGTGTGTGTGTGGAGCGGGGGGGGGGAGAGGAGGAGGTGTTTGTGCATTAACCTGCAGACTGATGACGTAAACAAGAGAGGCTCGTCTCAACATTACAATGTTATCCATCGCTTTTAGTATCGCAAACAGCTAGTTACATCTGCAATTTAAAAAACAAAAATGAAATTGATACCAAATGGGAACAAATAATAAAAAAAAATATAGTAAAACTCCTTGTTTTGTCTACTAGAATATATTGCCCGTTGTAGCCCGGGCTATTAAAGGTAAGGATGTTGCGACTCCATCTAAATTGTATTTTTAAAGTCTTGCATCATTTTACTGGTACGGCCACGTGACAAGGAAACAAGGGCTTGCCAAAGAAATCATGCAGGGCACCACGAGAGGAGGGAGAAGAAGAGGAAGACAAAGAAAAAAGATGGGAGGATAACATCCAAGAGTGGACAGGACTAACACTGGGCGATGCTGTGCGTAGTGCAGAAGACAGAGATGAATGGAGGAGGATGGTTGACATGTCATCTGTGGCGCCCCCACGGTCCAAGGACTAAGGGACTTGATGATGATCATCATCATCTTACTTTTCAGGTATTGTATTGATTAACTTTTGGCATCCCCCACCCCCATAATTTTATTGAAAATCTGAATTTTCGTGCCTGTAACTTTAATTGCTATTTTTAAATATTGGTATACTAACAAAAATGGACCATTCCAATTTTCAACGACCCTGGGTTTCAATTTGGGAAATGGGCTAAACACGTCTCTCAGAGTTTTTCAATTCTGTAAGAAGATCGAGCTTTGAAAAAATTATTGAAATACCATTGTGACCACACTTTTCCTAGTTTCTAAAATGTAATTTTTTGGCCGGCCGGGGGGGGGGGGGGNNNCCCCCCCCCCCCCCAGTGATGTATCTTGACCCAAAACTGCCTAGGGCACAATTCTAAAATTGCGCACCCACAAATCTATTTTTTAAAAAAAAGATGCTTTAGACTTTAGAGGTTCATTTTCGAAAAGAAAACTCGCAATTACAATTTTATTATTGGTTGGCTGCACACGCGTGCTTCAGCACAGGCAATTGTTTGAAGTGCTTTTTAGGAATGGGGGTCGTCGGGTGGGGTGTTGGGGGGGGGGTTGGTGGCAACTTTGCCCTTACCCGCTGTATGCGCCGCTGGGAAGGGACACGTGTGTTGATACCCCCCTGTGACGCCGTCAGTATCGGCACGTGCCTCCAACAACCTCAGCAACTCTGCCGTATATCAGCTGGTCGGGCCGACGGTGATAGTGAAAACGAACTATCAGCTGGGTGGCGTTCTACACGATTGGGGCCACATTCGTTTTTAGAAACTGGCATTCTCCCATAATTTTTTTTTTTTTTAACGCTGGTTTCCTCAGAAAGGTTGAGCGTCGGACAGACGATCACAAAAGAAGACTGCAAAGATGAGTAGGTTAGGAAAGTATTTCAGCTTAACCCGTAGGGGTCGATTGGGGAGGGGGGGGGGAAGAGCCCTCTTTCGTCTGCTAAGAAACGGAATATGGGGAGACCTGATAAAGTTGGCTGGGCTTTAGAGTAGAAACAAAGATCCTACCTCGGCATTCGCTATTGGAATCCACAAACAGATATTTCAACTTCCAGGATCTCGATAAAGTGTGATCAGAAATCGATACTTACTTTACGAAGAATAGAGACGATGGTGCAACTGGATGATTGAGATCAATAAAGAAATTGCTCATAAATATTTCTATACATGTTGACGCGTATCTTTCTTAGGGTACAGGGGGTGATGAGTTAAAAAAATGGCGAGCATTTTGTCGGTACATTTAGTATTTTATACACATTGCAACGCCACCTAGTGAGGAAGGGGAGTTTGGGAGCTGAGCCACAGAACCTGGTGTAGTCAACACAGGGGCCCACGGAAATATTTTTAAAACTAATTTTATGCTAGTATAAATGATGAAGAATTTTAGATCTAAAATTTTGAAGTGAATCTTTTTATTTTCTTTCAGTGTATTTGTTTGAAAAGAGGTATTACTCCGACCCTTACGTCATGACAAACAATCCACACTGTCAAGACAGCCCCCTCCACACTGTGAGGACAAGCCATCCACACTGTGAGGACAAGCCCTCCACACTGTCAGGACAAGCCCTCCACACTGTGAGGACAAGCCCTCCACACTGTGAGGACAAGCCCTCCACACTGTGAGGACAAGCCCTCCACACTGTGACGACAAGCCCTCCACACTGTGAGGACAAGCCCTCCACACTGTGACGACAAGCCCTCCACACTGTGAGGACAAGCCCTCCACACTGTGAGGACAAGCCCTCCACACTGTCACGACCACCCCTCCACACT